GGGGCTGAATAATTTTGCATGCCCAATTTTTCAGTTTTTTATTTGTTAAAAAAGTTTGAAATATCCAATAAATTTCGTTCCACTTCATGATTGTGTCCCACTTGTTGTTGATTCTTCACAAAAAATTACAGTTTTATATCTTTATGTTTGAAGCCTGAAATGTGGCAAAAGGTCGCAAAGTTCAAGGGGGCCGAATACTTTCGCAAGGCACTGTATAAACAAACATTATTCTTTATAATTTGTTTTATGATGTTTTACAGACCAAACAATTAAACTCTAAAAATTCCCCTGCACAAGTTCCTAGAGCACAAGGTGGCATCTTCAGATCACTTGTTTGGATATTTATTTAATATTCATATTATAATATTTCATATAATTTAAGACAAAGAAAACAGTTTCTTGCATTCAGGAACCTGGAACAGTCAAATAGTTGTCAGAAATGGCCTATAATTTTAACTGATCTGTAAAATAATTGCACATTTATTTTTGTGCTTGACAAACTTGAAATAAACTAATCATGGCAGGTCTAACATGATTTTGTTTGGCTTTTTGGTCCAAAGATGTCCTGAAATGTATTATAGTGGCATTCTTGACAGCCCATTTCTAAATTCAGAGTTCACGCCATCGTGAATATCATACATGATCAAAGAATCTGAACTATTTCTACTAATATTCCTGCAGAAAACGCTGAAACAAGTCAAGCAGTAAAGCTGTGTACGTAAACACTAATTTGTTCCATAGATGAAACAAATATTTCCTGCTGCACAGGAAGTGGTGAGATGTAATTCTGTTGATTTGTTTAAAAAAGGAAGAAATGAGTAGTTATTGCATGACAACTGGTCGCTACCGGAAAGAGAGCCTTCCACAGAGACAAAAACAGTCTGAGTGACAGTTGTTAAGCAGAGAGAACAGCCACCTCAGAAATACAGTGTGGTCACCATTGGTTCCTGTTTGCAGTGAAGCATCTCAGTCAAGTGTTAGTGAATAGTTTTGCAGTTATAAGTTTTTAGGCCTTGACTAATTGTTTATTTATTTATTTATTTATTTTATTTTAGTTTTACCGCTGTGGGAATGAGCAGAAGCAGTGAGATGACATCTTCCAGCTCCAACATCTTCATCATCTTCACAATTTTTCTGAGCTTCATTTTCCACTCAAGCCAAGGTAGGACTCTTCATTCCACCATTTACAGGAAACAGGACCTTACACAGCAGTTTATTTTATTGTAATATTTTAATTCTTAATTTTATGTTTTATTATGATAATATAACCAATAAAAATGATTCACCTAATGATCCAAAGAAATTCATTTGATCAGCCATTTGTTGACTTTTCCACATTTGTTGTTGTAAGAGAATTGGTAGAGATTTGTGTTTCTGACATGCATCAGCCACAGTCAGTATTTTAAAACACTGAATGAAGATGAAATCTTGACAATATTCACTCTAGTAAAGGAAAGGACTGAAAACATTTACCTGTCCTTGGTGTCTTAAACAGGCTGTATCTTAAATTAAATGAAAACCTGACGAGATGCTTGTGTTGAAGCCTGATTAGGTTTTTCGAAGAGAAGCTGAATCCTTTTCATTCAACAGATTTTGAAGTGATTCAGCCTCCGAATCGGATGGTAAACACAGACGGAGTAGCCTTGATCAGCTGTGAACACACTGCAAACGTCAGCTCTGTTGAAGATGTTCGACTCAGCAGCATCTCACAGTATGTATCCTGCTGGTAGGATGTTAAAATACACGAATTAAGGGGGCTGATGCTTTTCTAATCTGAGGTCTATATTGCTTCTTATTGTACTTATCTCCAGTTTTTCCTCTATAGTGAACATGTTACAAAAACAGCAACTGCTGCTGCCCTCAGTTGTAGCATGAAATGCTTTAACAATGCCAATAAGAAGCCAATAGATGCCATAGATCAAGTCAAATCAAGATTTTTATTTGCCATTTATGCATAAACAGACAGTCTAGGCATATAGGAATTCTTGTGCAGCTCTCCTTTGGAGTCAGGTAAGAAGTCAAAAGCTAGAAGGAACACTTAGTCTTAAAGTCAATAATTACAGAGAGCGACAAAGTATTAAAACTGCAATACACACAAAATAGGGATAATAGTATTTCCCACAGTGAACTTCAAACATCGCACTTAGTAATTCACATGGTGAAGGTGGATATGGCATTTTGTTGTAAAGTCTTGTTCTGTGTGATGATACTGCCCACCCTGCTGTGCCTGAGGCTGTAGGTGCAGTTTTTGTGTCTGAGCAGAGTGTGAGCTGGGTGGCGTGGGCCGTATATGTTTCAGTCTGTGTGAGGTGTGACCTGCTGCCAAAACAAAGCACCAGAAGAGTGACACTGCTCCCATGTCTGTGCTAAGTCTGCTAACTTAACTTGGCATAAAGATTGGAAACAGCTAACCTCTGTCTAACCTTTAATTCATCATCTAACCTAATTAAAGACTGAAGACTAGCTGGTACTGTAGATGTTTTCTGTCTAAAACATCTTCATCTGCTCTCAGAACAAACACAAGCAAGCTGCTTTGCCAGAAAGGAACAGAAGACTGTAAGAACATCTTCATGCATTTAGAGAATCCCAAAAAGTGCCTTTTCATCTTATACAACATTGGTCCAGAGGACATGGACATGAGTTATGAGTGTGAGTTCACCATTAATATCAATGATCTACACTACACCAAGAGAGGAACACCAACCAGACTACTGCAAGGTATGTTTGTAGTACCTATTTAAACTAGAACCAGTGAAGAACTAAAGGGAAATACATTACTTATGGTTATATGTATTTATTTTCATACACTTTACCAATGACTGTGCCAATTAAATTAAAAAATGCAGTAAAAAGACAGTTCACTGTATCATAAGGCCCCATTGTTACCACACTGTAGCACTTGCTCACTTGTATGTTCATTAACATGAACATGGCCACTGTAGCTTACTTGAAGTCAATCAGTCCCACATACACTGTCCTGCTGCTGTAATAAATACTCACTAGCACAAACAACTGTGCATTAGTCCACCACTGCAAATAGACCCTGAAAAATGCACTATGTCTTCCTGTTTAGTCACCTTTATTAAAAACTGCAGGGCTCAGTTGGTTTAGGAATTTATTTATTTATGTTTTTTTTAAACACTTAAGTCTTGGGAAGAGTTGAAAAGCTTTGACTGTGAGATAAGAGGGTAGGGAAGTCAAATTATTGAGAGAAAATATTGCTTTGCATAAGATTTGTTGACAGTGAGGAAGATGTAGAGTATGTGTATTAGCTCTGAGTGTTGACCAGGAGACTGCAGCATAGGAAGATGTAAATGTAAAAATAGCACTTACACTAGTTTTCTCACATTTAGCTGAATGTGACAAAGTCTAAATGTAAATGTTAAATGTTACATGTAAATATTAAATGTTAAATGTAAATGTAAATGTTAATGTGAAATGTCTTGCCAAGTGTAAAACTGAATATTTAGTAGCTCCACAGCCTTGCCTTATTACAGTGCAGCACACAGCCCCGCCCATGATGCTGAACTCGAATCAGTGATGCTGACTCAAAGACCGCAAACACAGCCCCGCCCACACCTGACTCTGGGTTCAGTTTTACACTTGGCAAGACATTTCACATTAACATTTACATTTACATTTAACATTTAATATTTACATGTAACATTTAACATTTACATTTAGACTTTGTCACATTTGGATAAATGTGAGAAAACTTGTGTAAGTGCTATTTTTACATTCGGCGCCCCATAGCAGCATAGACGATGCACTGGGAGGTGTTCCACATGGAAACATTCAGGGTCATGGTGGAGAGCAAAAGTGACAATGACTAGACCTGGTCACACGTACACAACGACACATCAGTACTGTTTTAACACCAAATTGAAAAATCCCAAACTTTTCCTGTAAGTCTAGTATTTTTATACATTAAATACATATAACTAAATAATAATAAAAAAAACCATCAGAACAGTTTAACACTCAAAGGGGCACAAGGACAAGGACCCCACAGCTGTAAAATCCCAAGCTATTCCTTTAACACAAAGTTTTCAGGGGCTTAAATGTGTGTGTTTATATTTTATTTGAATTAATCACACCCTGGTTACACTGTGAAATTTCTAATTCTTCTCTTATTTCATTGTTAATGTTGGAATGACTTCATGCACTGGTACAAGCAGGAAATAACCTTGCTATTTTATTAGATCAAAAGGAAGTAGAGAGAGACCGTGTAACTTGCCCTCAACCTCCACCTCCTCCACTTCAGTCTGATTATTTCAGATGGATTCTGATTGGTCTGCTGGTCCTGATGTTCCTGTGCTTCTGTGTCATCATCTCCGTCTTATGCGTCAAAGTGAGGGTAAGTTTCTATCTGACATATATCTGTTTGTCTGGCAGTGAAAAAAAAAAGAACAAGAAACTTGGAAATATTTTAAAATAACCTAATGAAAGACACCAGAGGCTTTATTAAAGTATTTTAACTAACCACTCGGAGTCCTCCTGAAGAAACAGTGTCACTAAATAATCAATTGTGAACTTATGCTATGTTTGTTGACAGCGGTATGTGTTAGTGAATGAATGTTTATTAATACACAGGATTGTGACAAAGTAGATGGTGATTTATTTAATCTGCACTTAATAACCTGTCAATCACACCGGGGCCTGAAGAAATGCAAGGAATGATTAGCATGAGCACATGGGCTCAGGTGAGCTTAATCAGCTGACCACAGTCAGCCAGTTGGCAGGACAGACTAACATTTACTCCCTGAGTTAATCAATTCCCAGTCTTTTTGTGTTGCTTCACATCCATGTTTGTGTATCTGACTACCACTGAACTCCTAAACTGCCACGCAAGTGCAGATGTAACTAAAATGTGAGCCATATGCTCACACACAGGAATAACAACAATGTCATATGTGAGACAGTCAAATTACACAGTTTCCTCTCAAACTGCCACATGAATTCTGATCTGACCATTCTGACAGTCGACATGACTCTGATGTAAGCAAGTGTGGCACAAGTGTTGACAGAAAACTTGAATATTTGTGCTCTTGCGTGCTCAACACAGTGGGTCATGGTCTTGCACAAAACGTGAGATAACTGACTGGTTAATGATTCAGCTGAAAATCACCTTTAGTTAGGAGACCACCCGGGTCACTTCCTGGGGTTCCCAAACTGAATTATAAAAGCAGAATATGCTGACCATATCTCCAGCTATTTCATGTAGCAAGTACTCACCTGGATACTACTGGACACAGAGATAATCCACAGTGGTAATACTCATTTATGGTGCCAATTACATAACATTTACTTGTTTTCAGCTACAATAACTATTAGCTGTAACTGTAGTGGCTACAACTGGTGACATTTTGAAGCCTGTAACTTCATTTGTTAAAAATCTTGCATATCAGAGGTAGAGGAACAGAATCTATAACTCTGACCATTTGGATTAATAATGCTACTGCAGAAGTACTGGGGGCTTATTTTTACAGTATTAATTGGGATACATATGATTAAACAAGACAACCTTAAGAAGTGTTACTTTTCTGTTTCAGAACAGGAACAAAGATCCAGAGAACTGCACCTATGTGGAAATGAGGAAAGCTCCTCTGCCAAGGAATCCACCATCTGTCATTTAATGTGGGTAGCTGACTCTTCTTTCTTAACTGATGACATCCCAGGAGGAAAATTATAACCCTTATGACACTGCTTCTTCAGGCAGTTTGCATCATGGTCTCAAACAATTGCCTCTTAGTCTCTGTCTCTTTTTCGATGTTGAAAATCACTGTACTAACAAGGCTGAACAGCAGGGGGAGACAAAGACTGTGTTTAGCAATGATACTTTCTGGTACTGTACAGCTGCTCCTCTTGTTGTTATGTGAAATGTGGCCCGATGATATTATCCATCATGCAGGATACACTGTATCTGGATATGAACAGTTTATTAATAATTTCAATCCCTGCTTCACACTTCCAGCTTAATGGAAGCTGTATGTGCTTTTATGTATCTCCCCACAGGTTGGTTCAACAAGTTTGATCTTAAGTATTTAAAATAGTGTTTGTGCGTTTCAGTCTTTTTATTTTACTTCCCTGGCTGGTACCTAGTAATAATAATAATAAAGTCAAAATAATTTGATTCTAAGACTGCTCAAGTTACATCTGACTATGCAACACAGAGGAAAATACACACAGTACTGAAACACCAATATTACTGTCCCAGCTCTCTTTCCTTTCATGCTACATTTCTACTGTGTATTTAATTTACTTTATTTTATACTGCATAAGCTGCATTGCTGGCAATTTTTCGTTACCAGTGTTCTTAACAAGCGCCAACCTCGAGGCTGAGGAATTAAGCCTTGTTCTTAACAAGCTCTTCAGAAGATGGTGGGTTTGTCCAGTTTCATATCCAATCAGCAGTTCTTAATAATGCACATTATAATATGATCAATATTAGTTGTTCATGTTATACATTTTTGTGTAGGCCACAGGTTCTTCCAGGAGATAGTTTAGTGAGGTTGTGTTCAGTTTGTCTGTGCAGATTCTCAGTCATCCAGGTCATAGTAAGCTGAAAAAAGAAAACAGAAAAAAAATCAACTGGACTTGGTTTTTAGGTCTAAGACGTTTAACCTCTCTTCCGAGAGGCTTCATCAGTTCTGTCCGACTGGCGTTGAGTCAGATATTTATCCCCATCGGTGGTGTTTGTCTTTTGGTGGCCAACAATGCCCCCTAACGACTGAGTCATTGTAGTCCAGTATCGGTGAGTGCCATTACCTGTCTTTGAAACCTCACATGTGGACCGACGCCTATTGTTCTGGTGTGAATTAGAGTGGGGATGTTTGGGCAGAGATCTCAAAGTTTCAAGCAGCACTTCAGGGCTTTACTGGTATTAAGGGTGTAGCCTAACGAAATACTGGTATTAAGAGTGTAGCCTAATGAAACTGAACCAGCACAGGACACAAGTACTTTCTGTTATTTTTATACTGAGGATAAACTACTAAACTATTTCCCACCCAGCTATCAGGGCAGTGCTGCCTGTTACGCATCCCACAGTGGATGGGCCTGTCTGTGCCCATAGCCAGGAAGCGCGGTTGGAA